ACAGCACTTAGGGCAAGCTAATTATACCTTTACGGCTTATTGTTCCCTTTCTTTAAGGTCTTTGACAACGTTGATGTCAAACCAGAAGTATACTTGGCAGCACGTCATGTTTAACATCCACTATACCGACAGCAAACACGAGAACCATGTTAGAGGTGGAAACATCAGAAAAGTAAATCAGAAGTCCACTTCTTTTTGTAGTCATCGTAAGTAGAAAGACGGCGGGGATAGTAAAGCTGGCTTATAAGCTACTTGTGTATGTGTTTGTTTTAGAAGAGAGAGGGAGGGGGGGAGCTAATTTGAAATAAAGAAGTAAATCTCTTTAAGTGTCTAGTCGTTCTAGCGCTTTCGTACTAATTGGGGACACTTTTCACTCACACATACTACCACTACATTCCTTGTTCTATGCATACCACGCTCAAGTCAAATGTTTATTTTTACCGATTCAAAATTGGGTTGTACATGGATGGTGGGCTGCTTGTGTGATTAATAGATGGTATAAATTTGGTCTGGGCTTTTTTATGGAGTTGACATAGTTTTGTTAGATGTATTGTTCTGTCGTTTATCACTGGAGTTTTCCTAAGGGTTCTCCAGTTTTATTTCTTCCTAAATACCAAAGTTGCGAGCTGAGTCAGATGCGGATCCAGGAGTGATGAGGGGATGACTAGTCGCCCCTCTTTTGCACAAATTATTTGCAGATGACCCTCCCCTCTCAAGCCCCACGGCACTTCCCTCAATAAAAAACGTACCTTTTCTAATACACTGACAACATTTTATCCGGGCAAGCTTTCACTCTTCAAATTTAACTTCAAATTTGATTTCCGTTAATTTGAGACGCCATATTTACACCACTTAACCGTCTTTTATGGGTTTCCTGTGGTAATGACGAAGTTTTCTATAACCGTTACCCCCTCCCTTTTAAAAAATCGTGGATTCGCCCCTGTGAGCTGATTTGAGTMAACAGTGAATGGCAGGTAGAGTGTGGACATTCCCTCAAGGAGGGTTATGGTTGTAAAATATGTTAAATAGCTAATAATTTTCTTTATTTTTGGCAGTGGACATTGACGATCAAGACTATCCTCAAACTGCCCTCTTTACCTGTCAAGACTCAGATCAGAAAATTGAAGGTCACGTGATTACCAATCTAGCCACCTGCGATGTAAGGCACTGCGGTATGGTTTGTTCCAGACATGCGCAGTGCGTTTCGTTCAATTATTGTGACTCATCAAATACGTCGTGCAATTCCTTTCCGTCAAACTGTGAGCTGAACAGTTCTAAATATGGACAGAAAAGCAAAAGAGGAGAAAGTTTTAAATTCTGTGTTCTTCTTAGGAAATTTTAGCTAGTAGTTCTCATCTTTGAGTAATATGATAACTATGATAACATGATGACGATGATACGATAACACCTACAGTCGACTCTCCCGTAAGCGATCACCCCGGGGCCAGGAGAAAGTGGTCGCTTACAGGAGATGGTCGCTTACTAGAGAGTTAACACAGGAAGCCCAAACAATGGGAATCCCAACACAGGAAGCCTCAACCATTTATAATTTGTAACTCACGTGTTAAAACTAACGATTTAACTGTTTGGATTAACGATTAAACTGTTTTAATCAAAACTTTCAATGTGCTTTATGTTTACAGAACTGTAATTGTCAACATTTCGTCGGGTTTTTAATACCCGATGACTCTATGTTCTTAATTTTTTTATTGTTAAAAGATCTGTCACCATTACTGGCTCTTGGGTGGTCGCTTACGAGAGAGGAAAAGCAATGAAAAATTCCAAAATTTTATCTCCAAAGGTGGTCGCGGTCGCTTACGAGAGTGGTCGCTTACGAGAGAGTTTTTTACAGAGTTTATATGGGAGAGTTTATTTGAGGGCCACAAGTTTGTAAGCTTTTGCTTTTGGGTGTTACCCTCTTTAAATAAAGTATATTATTATTATTATTA